TTGCATAATTTGCCTCGTTTTTATTTTGCATGTACAGTTACTTGTGGGGGTGTTCTTTTTTAAAAAAATAAGAAATGTAAAAGTTCTTTAGTTTAGAGACCCTAACTGTACAGTTAATTCAAAGAACAATTTTCAGTATGGAACATGAGAATACGATTGGTTCTTGCGTTAAGAAAAGGTTCGCTTTCGGTATAATCTGCATTTGTATTTCAGTGTGGCAGCCATTTTGAACATTTAATCAGAACTCGAAAACTACAAAGAATTTCACGCGTCATGCTCAAAAATAGGATTCTACATGTCCAAATCCTTTAGAAACATCTTTCTGATCATAGCTAACATCGTTAGCTGACCACTTCTAAACTAGGCTTAAGTCTCAGAAATAGCACTAGTCTAGTATCAGGCTGAAAGTTTAAGAAATTATTCTTGCACTGGCCTGTCTGTAACAGTGGTTTGATCACTCCTCTAAAAGTGTCCAACATGTATACAAGATGAGCGGACAACTGACTCCTAAAGCTGAAATCAGTCACTCCACACCATTTCCCTGCTGATATCGAAAAGCTGTTGCTCTCTCACCCAAACCTCAAGGACTTCTTTATGGGTTGATCCAGTATATGCACGTTCAGCCATTGCCAGATGAGATACTGAAATAGAACGGGTAACTCAATGACATTGCCATTCTGCTTGAAAACGTATACATTTTAAAGGGAAATCGGAAAAGTTGTCTTATTTTTCATCATTTTGTACCCAGGAGGCAATAAGGTTGAGTTTTATTTTTTACAGGCACAGCTCACCTTCTCATAACATCAGTCCCAACAGGCTAAGTGGTTCGCATCATATAATTACCTTTTCATACTGAAATGAATATTTTTAGATGGAATGTACTATATATATGTAAAGACCCTTACTGTTTACTGGGGGGAACGACACATCCCCCCCATGTGCTTGTTCTGTTTAAGATCCCAATACAAATAAGAGCCTAAGAGAAAGGAAGCACTTACCCTTGTTGTCATGGACAACTGAGGCTCCTTGAGTCTTGATTTCACATATTAAATGATAGGGGGCCTTTCAGCACAGCTAGTGCCTTTGGCTGTTAGCTCGGAGAGCAGAGGATCTCCTCCAGCTTCTTGAAGGAAGCCAGAGTGTCCACTATGACAACATAGATTAATATAGATTAATACCAACAAGTCTCCAGGACCTGATCGTATTCAACAATTGCACTTAAGAAAAATAAGAGGGGATTTATATAAAGCTGTTGACAAAACTCTTTCAAAAGTCACTAAAGACATAGCTGTTCCTATGATCTGGGGAGCATGTTTCTTGTACATTTGTCGTGATACTGAATGCTGCATGTTCAATTGTTCAATATACTTTGTCTTGTACAGTATGTCCGGACCTGTGTGTTACCTCTTGACAAATTGTGAGCAATATTTAAAGTAAAAGAATGATTAAAGGCCAGAATTCGTTCATAGGTTATTATTGTCTTTTAGTAATATGAGATGAAAAGATGGATTTTATATTAATTTCCTTTTTGTGTTTATTCATTTCCTTTACAGTGTGTTTATTCGCTACAGAGGTTCCTTCTGACAGTCATTCTGGTGTTTATGTGCAGTAATATTGTGTGATTTGCATGGATCTGCCTTTATTGCTTAGGTTTCCTAGGATACCAAACAATATCAGCTGTGGAAAAAAAACCTTTTGTTCACCACAAAGCCCTCCTCCCAGGCCTGCTTGTAAGATTCATCCTTTCTATGTTCTGTATAAGACCAGGCTCTCTGCAAAGGCAACATGTCCATTACAAAACCCAGACAGAAGGTTTTAACCTGCCACTGGAAAATTAAGATGCGAGTCAAAGGCAAGTCACCAATGCAGGCGTATCTTTGGTGTAATGCAACCTGGAACACTGCAGCCCCTGTTCTGCAGCTGCAAAAATGTTTTATTTTGAAGTTTTCCTCTCAAACCACTAGAGGGCATGAAGCTTATAGTCATACAAGTGTAAAGCAAATGGCCGACAGGTACTGTGTAAGAGCCGTCTGACCAGAGCGGTGATGTCGCCGCCCTTCCCTGTGACAGCAGGACCACAGCCCCTGGGCTGTGGAGAGATCTCTCTTTGGCTCACCGGGCTGGGTCCCTGTTGAGTGACGCCGGAGTCCCGGGTTCGAGCCCCTGAAGGTGTGGGGCCGACCTAAGGCGGCAAGGGCGCCCGCCTGAACCCCCGTTGCGTTACACAAGAAACCGTGCCACTGAACAGGCTGCCAGGGATGGTTGATTGTATAACCTACAAAAATCTGAATTTCAATCAATATCTTTTTTTACATGCCACCCAGGGATAAAAAAAGGTGTTACCAAGGGTCATCATTCATTCATTTAACTGGCTGTCCTGTGCAGTCGAGGAGGTTTGTCTTTGATGAGATCAATATGGAGTTCACACAGTTTTGGGAATGTCAAGAGCTGACTTTTTCACAAAGATTTCCGGTCGTGTCTGATACCGTTATGAGCTGCTTCTGTTCTCTTCTGGTGCTAGTGCTTTGGCAAAGCTGGAAGAAAAGGATCTTCCGAGGCGTTTTCTGTGTAATTCACTGTGTAATGTTCATCATTGCTCTCTGAGTGAAGTATTTCTGACGAGGAGAAGCAAGAATGCAGTGCATTTACTAGTGGAAAAAAAAACATGAAAATAGTACAAATTGGCAAGACAGAATGTAGTTACATGTGTGAGTGGTTTAAAGATTTGTTGTCACTTGACGGTTTAGTATGTGAATAAGTAAATTCATTAAAGACCATGTACAAATAGATTGTAACAATAAGTCAACTTCACTTGTCACTTGTTACACAGTATTTACTGGTCTTGGTCTTACTGCTGGCAGATATATCGGGTCAAGGCTTTGTAACGCAAAGACACTGAAGTGAAACCACAAGTAACTCTATTTGGCTCTGTCATCCAGATATTACACTATTAGCCAGACATAGTGGTGTAGTTACAACTTCTAAATTCAGATTCCATTTTTTCTGATAGTGTGTGCACAGTACAAGGTATAATAATTAGTATACTGTTTACCTGAGTTTTTATTTCCCCAAATATTTTTTATAGAAGTTATAAACATCCCCCTTATTACCTGATCTTAATGATAAACAGGAAAAGCCTTTTTGATTTTCATCCATCTGTTATCAGAAAGCTTCATCTTTTTGAGAGCCAGGAAATAAGTTTAGTGGTTAGTGTCTCATCTGTCAGTTTCATAAACTCCTACCCTTCTGCTCGCTAATATGCCAGGATTTCCAGTGGCATCAGATTATTGCAGTTTGGAAGCACTTCCTCGGCCTGTGTACATTGACATTACTGTCAACAAGCACATCTGAAGGAAGGGGAAAAGATTTCTGATTAGGTTATGCTTTTTATCACTTCTATTCTCTATTAAAAATGCACGTATCAGGAAGCATTTGCTGTGTTTAGAGCAATTTACATTAATTTCACGTCATTCATTTTCTAAGTGTCTTCTGCAGTGGACACAAAGACGCAAAGAGTTTTTATATTTAAATCAAAGTGTTCGAGGCTATTTTGCAGGAGGCAGAGGAGGGCTGGAGCAGGTTAGATGTCAGTTCAGATGCGGTGGTAGGGAGTGAGGCAGAAGAGGAGGCAGAGAGTCGGAGTGAAGATGCAGGTGAGTCAGAGGGCGAGACGGCAGACAGAATTAAAGATGGTGGCGGGGGGGCATTCCTTGTGAGCGAAGTGACACGAGTGTTTTAGTCTTATTGTATGTTTTGTCATTTGATCTGAGGTCTTCTGGTCACAATAAATTCAAATCTTTTAACTGAATTAAAAATCATCCCCTATTAACGCAGGTCTGAAGCCTCAAAGCCAAGAAGACACAGATTTAGTCTGAAATACATTTTAATTAGATTTGAAATAACTTTACTAGATTCATAAAATTATTTAATTTTTATTTGCCATTTTCTTGTTTGCGATTTTCCGGTAGATTTAAGCTTGCCATACCCACCTGATTTCTATGACATCTCCAGGTCAAGAAGTGACTGCAGTTCAGTTCAGGCTTTCAGACAGCACACGACAGCAAAGCACATGAGGACATTGCAAGTAACTCCAACCTACATGAAATTCAAATTTCAGGAGCTCTGAATGCATCACAAGAAGAAATAAAGACTTGCGTTACCAATGACCTTTAAGTGCCAGAGAAAACAAAAAATCAGAACTCTTAAGGAAAATTAGGCCATTTATAGACTAAGTGTAGCAAGGCTGCAACAGATAAAGTAGATACAAAAATGTCCATTGATGAACCAGACTTTCCATTTACAGGTCACTGTACCTCCAGCAGTCTGTGCCAAACAGGCTAAACCTAATGGGATTAAAGATGCAGCGTTTGTCAATGTCTCATCAGTTAGTCTTGTGGTACACCAGTGAAAGAATAGCTTCAACAGTGCTCGATGAATGGTGAGTGAATGCAGTATTATTTATTTCCTCATTGCCTGTCACTCAAGCTGAATGAAATTAAGACGTCTGTTAATATACGGTATGAATCTTAATTAGTTCAGCATTTAAAAACAATTTCAATAAATTGTTTCAAAAACATCTTGATAACTCAGATGTCATAAATATACTAGTTTAGTATTCTAAACCATTATGAGTTTCTATTGATGGAATAGTTCTCGGTTCTTTTGAAATCTTAATGTTTCTTTAATTCGGTGAAAACACATCAAATCTTTTCACATAGATACCTACCATCAAGCTTTTCCTAAAAACAGCACCAAAGCTTGACTTCTTATGTACTGTAAGCCGTATTTCTCACGTTGGTTGAGAAGTGTGCTTGTATTTAGCTTTTTTGAAAATATATTACTGCCATTCTGTAGATTAGAGGCCATAATAAAATAATACTAATTGTGAAATGTTATGAATGAATAAATGGTGCTGTTAATAATTAGCCATTTTTTAAGTCCCTTGTGTATTTAACCTGTGTGATTCAGACGATCGTTCTTGTGATAAGCTGAAGAAAGTGCTCATTGGCTGTCTGAAGGGGGCACTCAGCATATAAGCACAGTCTGTTTCTGTCGTTTCCACTGCTGCAAGTAGAGACTGATAGGGACGACTGTGTCTTCACCACAATGTAAGTATTGTTTCCACATTATATGTCTTCAGATTAATGAAGTTAGTAAAAGAGAGCAAATGATATCAATTCCGGAGAGTCTGGTTTTGAATGTGCAAAGTACAGAATATTGTGTAATAGTGTGGATACAGAATGACAGAAAAGAAATCCTGGTCTCTTTGTTTGTTCTTTTTTCTTTGCTCAATTTGCTAACTAACAGTAATCCTTATTGATTGTTCTTTTTTATTGTGCAAGTTTTAATGTCACATTTTGAAAGAAGGTTAGATCTCTCTGTAGAAAAATTACTTTGAATATTAGCTTACAACTATTCTTATGGCATACTAAATTAATTTCATTATCTTAATTGAAAAAGGAATTTTCTGTTCTCTATTCTCAAATACCATTCATTTAAGTGTATTTGCTAACTAAATGTAATAAAGGTTTTAAGGTTTAGGTTTGAATAATACAAATAAATCAACATATGGAAATATTTAAAAATAGGAGATGGCTAGGAGGTTACATTTTGTGTTAAATTTTTTATGATTCAAAAATTAAAATATTTATAAGTTTTTTTTAATTTGATTTTTATCTAGTTTAAATAGAATGCCGTTCAAAGGCAGTAAACAAACCACATTGTTGTACTCATAAAACAGCAAGGCTACAGAACATATTGTACATACTGTAAGTTAATAGTAGGTCAGGTCTCCTCTATATAAGACTTAAATTGTATTTGCTTAAAAGTAATCAATCTAAGCGTCTGTAGGGTATCTCGATCATTTACATCTGGATTACACAGTATTAAAACGGATTAAGGAAAGCAACAGTTCGCTGTGTTTAATCAAGCACAGAAGGCAATATTAGAAGGTATTGTAACAAGATTTCAAAAGTAAAAATATAAACAAAATCTTTAAAAGGTGATCAGCGTAATGCATTATTTTGCTTATTCAATTAATTGCAATAGCCACGCTAGCCTAGCGATTCCTGTTAAATCCTCTCTGCATCATACTGAAGTCCCTGTGAAAATTGATCATTTATTGAAATATTTTGTTCAAAATAAGATACTGTACATGTCTGACTGGTGTTTCAGGTGTTTGGTATTTACATCTGCCTACTGTTCAATGCAGCCTACTTTCTACAACAAACTTCCATTTCTGGAAGTGTCTGCCGTATTCCTCTAACAAAAATACAATTTTTAAAAAATTACCTTTTCATTTTGAAAGAACATTTGGAGTGTTTTTTTATTCAGTTGATAGCTGCAACAACAATCTCAAGGTTTTTAGAACTCAAAATGTCTCTATACCAATCTTCTCTTTCAATTTAGGTTAGAAATTCAATTTTTAAAATATTACTCTCTACAATGTCTGTGTAATTCTTAACTGATTTGTTTGTCTGTACCAAAGAAGGTGGTAATTAGTGTCAGTGGTCTTTCACTATGAAATTGTTGAATAATGAAATGAAGCACAGGCAAACCTTCTGAGTGTCTGTAGCTTGGACAAGCCAGCTATCTTGAACCACTGTACCACAGCAGTCCCTGCGTCATCTCAAATCACTAGTGAAGCACCATCAAACAAAAGCAAAACAAGTATTCACACTGAGTAAAGATCTTTTTATTCTGCGGTATTCCTCATTTTTAATTAACAACCAAGAGATTATTATTATTATTATTATTATTATTATTATTATTATTATTATTTTATTATCATCATCATAGCCTTAATAATAGTGTTCAGCTTTCTGCAGTTTCTTCAACACCTTCCAACTACATTTCCAGTTACATCAGAACATAAGAAACGTAGAAACAGGTGACCTTTTGGTGCATCTTGTTCCATTGCTATTAAAGCAGATAAGTAAATCTAACATTTAATCCAGCTATTTCTTAGAAGAGCCCAGAGTTTGCTGCTTATGCACATTATTTGCAGTTCTTTGTGGAGAGAAATTCTGAGGGCTTTGATTTCGCAGTTAGAAGATGGACCCAGCAGAGTTCCGGAGACGAGGCAAGGAGATGGTTGACATCATTAGCGACTATCTAGAGAACATCGAACAGAGGCCGGTGTTTCCCGACGTCGAGCCAGGCTACCTGAGAGCGCTGGTTCCTCAAGAGGCCCCGGAAGAGCCGGAGTCCTTCGACGAGATCGTCAGAGACATCGAGAGGGTCATCATGCCAGGGGTGAGAGCAAAATAAAAAAGTAGAAGGAATAATGTACTATGATGGAAACAAGCTTGATAGGACATGTTCCATGTATTTTAATTCAAGCTAAAAGAGCACTAGCTCACAATACACGTTTTTTGTTTTCTTGAGGTGAAAGGCACTAACTCCAGTTTTTGCTCAGAATTTGCATTGTCATTGGTCTTCTGTTGAATGTAGACACTTATCACCTATTGTTACTTTACCTGTGATGTGCTAAAAGGTTCTGGAATGTATCGAACATATTTAAAATAAAGTTGTATTCATTGTCAATTTGTAATTATATACAGCCAGACTCTCATGGACGAAAGGGTCTGTTACCCATTTCTCTCTTTTTGCCTTGTGCTCTTGGCTTTGTCTGACGATCCAGGGGTATAAGAACCCATTTTCTATGGAAGGCCATTGATAATTAATTATCAATATTCAAAAGTACATGATGCTGGAGAAGCATGTGTGCAAGTTTTGTCACATGAATAATGTAAAATCTTTATCTTTAGTCAAAGTAAAAAAAAATATTCACCATTACTGTTATTTCACTTGATGTCTGCAAACTGCATCGTCTGATGTAAAATACGCAAAAAAGAACTTTTGTCTCCTTCTCAGCTGTCTTTGCAGTGTATCACAAAGTGCACTTTGTCATAGGTTTGGGTTTTATCGTTGTCTATGTATTGATGTTAAATCACATCCCAGTTGGCTCTACAGTATCTTTTGTAACAAACTAGGGCAATTTGTAACCAAATTCAGTATTTGCTTTTATTTATAAGGTGGTGTTAAATGCCTTCTTTTAAAAATGTTTTTTATTTTTTTTTAGACTTATATAAATGAATAACGTTTTTTTGTCAGTAATAGAATATTTGTAAATGTTCACGTCATTGACTAGTACAGTATATTTTGTTCAAAGTCTAGGACTTTTCTTGTTACTGTTGCAGTTCTGAATATAAAGAATTACCACAGGCCTGGTAATGATTAAACTCCAACTGCAAACCACCAAGATTAGTGCTTTAACTTTGATCTTATATTAATTCAACACAGAACATCAGCAACAAGTTGTTTACAAGTGTTCATACATAATTAAATTCATAATTAAATAAGGGCTGAAAAATGGTTATGAGTTGAGTGATAACTATAAAGTTTTCTCCCTTTAATAATGAAAAAAAGTCCAGCATTTTTTGACCTAACTAAGGCCTTAACAGCCCAAGAGAGATAAGACCAACTCGTGAGTCCACTGAGTTATATATTTTATCACTATATTTTATATTTTTTAGAGAGAGCCCAGGCACACCTACACTTGAAGGTGTGTTTCCAGGGACAAGGGTTGCTGTTGAGCTAACCAGTAATCAAAAGGATAAATGGCTAATAGAGTTCAAAAGCGTTTCTTCATTACATGAAACAAAAAACATTCCACATAAGAGCTGAACACTAAATTAACCTGAAGTAATATCTTCAGATTGCTGTCCTCCCAATTCTATCCCAAACACCTTTGCACAATTTTCTCATAGGTGGTTCTGAGTTCCATACTGCTTTGTAATAGTAGTGTAACAATTAACAACACTCTTAAGTTTGTTTATGTGGTGTTTATTTGATCCAATTTTAAATGCATCTAAAGCCTAATCGGCAATGCTAGTATTTATACAGTACTGATAACAATTTAAGCCCATAAAATATTGTCACTATTAGAATTATTACTAGGTTAGAATACCAGTTTGATTTGGATTGTTAGATAGGAAAAGGTACAGTATCACTATTGTGTATGTTCCTGTCTGCTTTTTTTTTTCATTTCCAGAATTATTTATAAGTAACTTGTGGAGTACAAGTATGAAAAGACACTTCAACCTCCTGCAAACTACTGAGGTCACAGAATAATTCCAGGTTTATAATAGAAAATATGTTTTAAATTCTAAAGATGTACTTGATTTGAAAATAAAAAAAAATACTGAATTAATAACATCTCCAAAAAAAAAACATATTCTCATTGAAACATTTGCCTGCGCATTTTGCAAGTGTGGATAGTGAGCTGGAGGTAGACCACACTAAGCACAGGGGCTCAGTCAGGTGCGATTGATCAGAAGAGGGTTAGAAGGGTTAGACAAGTCAGGAAAGAGGTGGAATTTCTGTAGCCTGTGTGTGTGCCTGGACAAAAAGCAAAGGCTTTTGAAGCCCAGGATCACAGAAGCAGAATAAGCACAAGATTTGATTTAGCAAAATGCTTATTGTAGTTTTGTGAAAACGATAAATATTCAATCTCACACAGGTCACTTGGATGCACTCCGACATCTTCATCATGACGGTCTTTGTTTCATTTCCCTCCTGAAGGTCACCCACTGGCACAGCCCTTATTTCTTTGCCTATTTTCCTACTGCCAGTTCGTTTCCTGCCATGCTTGCTGACATGCTGTCCGGAGCTATCGGATGCATTGGATTTTCCTGGGTGTGTAACAGTTAATCTCCTCCTCCTTTATTTTCCAGACCTTTTTGTGTTAAATGTTTTAATGATGTGAGTCTGTATTAGCTGAAGTGATAAGTCTGGTAACACTGAAGGATTTTATTTATTTTGATTTACAAAGAAAGGGTAAATTTTTCACATTTTCCAATGTTCAGTTTTTAATGAACGTATGCTTTTATTCCCGAGGGACCCTTAATCACCATTATTCATTGTTTATTATTAATAAAAAATTCAAAAATGTGACTACAGTTTATTTGTATGGAGCAGTAGTTTATGGTTTTCAACAGACATGTACAATTCTCGTATTGAGTAAAGGTTCTCATGGTAATCAGAAGTGAAAAGCAAGGGAAGTAAGCAGATTAACCCCCTTCAGGCTGCCAGTCCTGCCTGCACAGAGCTGGAAACGGTCATGCTGGACTGGCTGGGGAAGATGCTGAAGTTACCAGAGGAATTCCTGGCTGGGACAGCTGGTCAAGGTGGGGGTGTGATACAGGTAAGGCATTACGTTTGCGTACTAGTTAATTAATAATAATAATAATAATAATAATAATTGCTTACACTTATACAGTGCTTTTCTGGACACTCCACTCAAAGCGCTTTACAGTAATGGGGTCTCCCCTCCACCCCCACTAATGTGCAGCCCCACCTGGATGATGCGACGGCAGCCATAGTGCGCCAGAACGCTCCCCACACACCAGCTCTCAGTGGGGAAGAGAACAGAGTAATGAAGCCAATTCATAGATGGGGATCATTAGGAGGCCGTGATTGGTAAGGGCCAATGGAAAATTTGGCCAGGACGCTGGGGTTATTTGTAGTAACTGAACTACAGTATGTCCAGAAGCCAGTGCACACAGAATGAATACATACCAACAAGATTTTCTCCTGGATTGTATTTTTATTATTTTAAAATGTTAAGACTTTTTCAAATGTAGAAATACAGGAGAGCAGAGCCAAGAACTGAGACAGATCCCATTTATTTTTTAATGTATTCAGCAAAAATGTACAGTAGGTAGAGCTATTGGCAATTAATTGACACTCAACAGTAGAATCCCAAGATCTGAAAGAACGGTCAGTGTCCTCTCTAGACAAATATTTCAGTCAGTTAGTATGTTTTTTAAATAATAATAATAATAATAATTGCTTACACTTATATAGCGCTTTTCTGGACACTCCACTCAAAGTGCTTTACAGGTACAAGTTACAGTTACAAGTTACAGTTACAGGTAAAGGAAAGGAAGGTAACGCGGATTCTGCAACTAGTTATGGCTGATGTTATCTCTATAACAGCTTTTAAGTGTCTGTGGGTTCAAATTAATTTCTCAACTTTTCTTTGTTACAAAATGCAATTAGACATTCAAGGTTTTCTCTCAGTTGTGTACTGATTCTTCTTTGAGCCTACAGCACTAGGGCTGAGCTTTTGTAAATGTTTTTATCCTAGGTCTTTACCATGATACGATTTGTTTAAACTGAATTTGGAGTACCAAAATGAAGAAAATGATTCCATTTCGTAATTTATTTCTAACATTAAAGTATGTTATTAAGTTACATAATGGGTTATTTAAAATTGTTTTCATGAGATTGTGTTGCATTTGGGGTCTTTTGTTAATTTAATTTCTTTGAAAGTGCTTCACTGCAGACATAAACTAGAATTTGATAACATTTGCCAAAAGCAGGCAAATCTATAATAAGCATTTGTATAAAAGGTTTCAAAGGCATCATTCTGAATGTCAGAAAAAGACTTAAGTTACTAGAAATATTCAGATAATATTTTATCAAGTAAAACTTGACCTGCAAGGTGTGGAATTCATGATAAAGAACCAGGTTCTGGATTTGTTACTGAAGAACATCTCCATAATTTTTTGTAAATGTCAGCTATGCTTGACAGACATAATAATTGACTATTTTTTTTTTGGTTCTGGATTTGTTCTGAAAAACAATCATGTTGTGTTTTATTCTCATATTGACTGCAATCTGTGTGACATTGATTTTTCCCTTTTCCTCTTAACACTTGAATACTGCAGGAAATAGCCATTTAGTGTAGCTTTGGAAACAGCTGAGGGAATACGTGTCCATGCAAGTTGGTCATTAATTCTGTTTGTGGACAGAACATCTCAACAGAAGAAGCTCTTAATGTATCAGATGTGACATGAAAAAGCCAGCAGATAATTTTAGGCCTGTCTTTATAAACCATAAACTTTTTTGTGCCTTTTTTCTGCATTACTGATTTACTCCCATTGAAAATGACTCACTATGGCAACACATAACACCTAACATTTTGACAGTTTGCAGACAGCTCTCTTGCAGTCTGTGGATGAAGGTTATTAAAGCACATGGTGAAAATGGAAATAGCCTGCCCTACAGTGGACATTGAAATTGTAATCTTTGAGCAGCGCTGCTTATGTCAGTGCACAGGTGATAAACAGAGTACAAGAATCACAAACACCTCTTGAGTTATCTAAATTTAGCTTTAGATAAAACTTGGAAGACAAAGATTTTCAGTATTTTAATATCAAAAATATATTCTGAGCTTAATGCTGAAGGAGCTGCCTAAGAATATAAATTAATAATAACTGATAGATTTATAAATATAAATAATTATTACATTTAGGAACTACTGGTTGTAAAAGGTCGATCTGATATGTAGTATATTGATTGTGTTTATTTCATCTCGGTTATTTGTTTTATTTCCATGAGAATACAGTACATAAACTGAGATAAAAGCATCTCATGTACAATGTCCTTGTTAAAAACATAGAGTACCTCTGCTGAAAAATAAATCTACCTGAATAGCACACAGAAACGCACATCTCTGAACTGGTGCTTAAGGGATGTTAGTGAAAGGAAGACAACAGTAAAATCCAAAATGGTTATTAACTGTCCACTCAAAGGTTTATGCTGATATGCAGCTGTAGTTGGTAGAACCCATGAAAATAGGCGTGTTGGGCATTATTAGACAGTATATTATGCAGTTCAGGTGGGGAGCTGCGTCAGCATGCGTAGGCTGCATAGGAACAAGTAACAGGTTTATTCCATGCTGAAAAAAAGAAGAAAGAAAAAACAACATGTTTGCTTTTTTAATTAAGAGAATTAACCTTAATTAAGAGAATGTTTCCCCCTAGGGTACTGCTAGCGAAGCTACTTTGATTGCTCTGTTAGCTGCACGAACCAGAACAGTCAAAAAGATCCAAGCGGAGAACCCAGGGACAGACGAAGAGGACATTCTACCCAAACTGGTGGCCTACGCCTCTGACCAGGTGAGCACGTGAAACAGCACGAATGGGCTTAACTGCACCCATATTCACACAGAGCTGGTGTGACTCTGCAGTGTATGAACTCACACCGTACACACAGCAACCCCCTGCAGCCTAAAAAACTCCATTTGACACACGACATCTGATACTCTCTTCTTCCTGGAGAGCTGTTTACTGGAGATTTTTAAGAACGTAAACAATAAAATGTTTTCAGAATAACAAGGATATTAAGGGTATAAATATAAAAAAATACAAATAAATACAAATGCAAATTCAAGCTTTATATTTTTATTTTATTCAGTTTTCATATTCTCCTACCTTTTTCTTTATCTAAACATGTAGGATAGTGTTGTGGCAGGACTGATTTCATACAAAAATGATAACGTGCAAAAAAACGTATGCTATACCTAAATTTCAGGTTATAAAGCTTTTCCTTTCAGGAATCATACCATGTTATTTCATTTCAATAATATGTCTAATCTTAATCTTAGTTAAAATATTTCTTAATGTAAGATGACGGCAAACAAAGGACTTATTTAGCCTGATCCAGATGAAGATTGCACAAATGTCAGTGTCCGCAGTGACACAGAAATCTGTTTAACTGAGGAAGTGAGCGCCTGGTCTGCAAAGCTGCTAGGTGTCTGTATGTAAGAAGGCAGCCCTCCCCTGAAGTGTTAAGTTCCCTTGAGCCGCTCAAGCCCTGGCCTCTAATTCAGCCTCGAGGATCTGTGACGTGCTCAGCGTGGCTGCTGAAGGGCTGATAAGAAATGGAAAGTGACAGCGCTCCACAAGTGGTCTCACACAGGCTGGATCTGCTGTCGGGGGGAGGAATCGCCTGGAGATACTGCTGACCTTTCTGAACACAGCCAGCGAAAAAACCTTTCCCTTGAACGTGAACCATGAACTGCTGTCTGTGTAGTTTACTTAGTACAGAGTAGAAGTTATCTTCTTTGAATCTATTAATGATAAAAGTTCATTTACAGTGCCCTCAGGCTCTTTATTCTTAGTTCATTTCTCAGTTGAAGATTTCTGATGGGCGCTATGTTTACAGTAGTAAAACCTTGTTTCTGACCATTATAAAAGTTTAACAGTAAATGTGAACGATATTTTTAAAACATTTCTAGCGTGGTGGAATATTTCTGCATTTATTTTGCTGTACTGCATTTTGCATGATTCACATGCTTTACCCCACACCGCTGTACTTCGATTTACCACGGTAATTTCTGGTATAATGTATGAACCGCGGGAAGGGTCCTGAAATGGCTCTTCTGTTTTGCTACAGGCACACTCCTCGGTGGAAAGGGCGGGGCTGATAGGTGGAGTGAAAATGAAGATGATCCCTTCTGATGACAAGTTTGCTGCTCGAGGAGAAGCTCTCAGACAGACCATTGAAGCGGACAAGGCAGCTGGTCTCATCCCCTTCTATGTGAGCAATTCCGTACTTCGGCACAATATTGAGCACCAAAGCTATAGCTGGCGGAGTGAGTCTGCTGTACCAACTAACCCTCACGCCCCTGGGGTACTTCTGGAGAAGAAAAAATCTCCGTTTCCACTAAACAGAAAACAGGTTTACAGATGGAGACGACAGAGAAAGTTATTGATAGGCCTTCTGTTTTTTTGATTTTCACCAAGCTTCTGATTTTCAGTAATTTTCTTTTATATCTGTATGATCTTACCATGTTTTGATTACAATCAAGCAATGGGCTTATAGTGAAATAGAAAAAGCAGCATTGATTATTTTTTTCAAACCTGGCCAAGTCGAGCTTAGTAACCGCATTATTTTATTAGCAGATGCTGTTATCCAAAGCATTTTACGTGTTACTTTACCTTTTTACACGGTTGGACATATTGCTGGAGAAATCAGGGTGGAGTACAACAGTAGTTCTCTACCTGCAATCTGAACCCATAACCTTCCAGTAACAGGTCTAGATCCTTACCTGCTTCTCCACACTGCTGTGTGCATACACGCCAGCAGGGTGAATAACGACAATAAGCATTTACAAAAACTGGAGTGCTGTTAACACTGGATTAGTTACTGTTTATTTCTAATGTAATGGATTGGGGTTCTTGGGGTTGTGCCCTCGCCACTCCCAGCCCAGTTCCTCGCTCCACAACATGGGCTCGAACTCGGGTCTTGCCGGCTGAGCTAAAGAAGACCTTCCTAAGCCCAGGCGGCCAAGATCCCTGTTATGCCCATGGGCATATTCGTTACAATAGTAATTAGTATTGTTATATCATTCAAATCATTCACATGTTACACCTTCCCCTTGAAGGCAGTGCAGGACCCATCACTCATGCCATTGTCATCCCTGGAGCCTGTCTGGGAGGGGTAGAGGGGGGTGGCAGCAGAGAGGCCTGGAGTTTTCCTATTAGCATTGTCGAATTTTTTCAACTATTATCTTATTGCGTGGTCCTTCTATCACAGCTGTCTGATTATACAGGCATTTCACAAAAGCTTTTGCAGAAACATAGAGGCTGGTGAAATAGATGAGGTGCAGGAGGATGGGAAGAAATGCTATATTATGTCATTCTGTTTTTTTTTGTCGAAAATTCAATATTAATAAACAATTGATTCACTAATTGGTAGAAACTAAAAAGTGGGTAAACGCACTGGATATTTAAAATGGCGACACCACAGCTTGATGGCAAAGCTCATCCACATCTAGATGTGGCTGATGAAAATCAGATGTAATTAAGCAGTCCCCGTGTTACGGTCCAGGCTCCATTTGTAAAACACGACGCAGCCCAGATAATTGTAGTCCGACATCCACATGAATATTCTCCTTAGTGCTAACTACGCAGAAGGCTTTCATCAGTTGCACATCTGAATTGCATTATCTCCATCTCTTTTGGCTCTCCCTGAGGTTTTTGTGGCTGTTAATTTTGTTTGTCAAGGCTGTGCTTGCCATCCTAAATTAATTTGAATCTCATTATTCTCATTATTCTATCACCTCGCCGTGTGGAGAGTAAAATAAATTTCAGTGTTCATGTCTACTGAAGACATGTCTCAAGCAACACGAGCGATAATGTATTTACCTGAAACACGGCACTTTGCATTATAGATAAAAAAACAGCGCCTAACTTCCTTCATAGTAAAGACGTCATATTTATTGCTGATGTTGCAGCTGATGATGAGCTGTCACCAGGTCGTTGTCTTTTCATCACACCAGCCTGCTTAATTTTTGTTTGTGTACAAACCAGAGGCCACAGGAAAATCAATAATCACTTTTATTCCTTGTTTCCAAAAGCCCAATATGACTTGCGTAAAACACACTTAAGCTCCTGAATTTTCCATGTACCATTCTTTTCCTATTACACTTGACATGCTACTGTAGATCGATGAGCACAAGGTTAAGTGCAAAGAAATAACACAAGTTCTCATATTGTCATGTAGTTTCATGGTAAGATATGAACAATGAAACTGGATGTCAATACTTGTTTGAACTACCGCCCAACGATTCCTCCTAAAGAGAATTTTATATTCCAACAATCTTTTATTTTCCTACTTTTTTTACTATATGTCTTTGGTATTTTATTTTTGAAGCAGCTGCATTTTATTAACTGTGGCGTTAACTGTTTTGTGGCATTATTTCTGTAAAGGAATATATGTCCTTTTGTTTTGAAACTTTCCACCATCATCGAATATACACTCTCTCTATTGAGAGCTCACGGTTTTATTACATGTGCAAGACAGCTGACATCTGAGTCACAAGCACACCAACAATAACCCTATTGTCGAGCAACACAAAGCTATCACGAAAGTGAATGATATAGTAATATAGATATAGTTAGTTACATAAATAAACATGGTGTAAATCATCATAATTGCATATCATTCTAATGAAATAAATATCAACTAAACATACTGTATCTGATCACAAACACTGTATTTATATAAAGGACCTTGACAAAAGGGAATGGGTTTTGTTGGCACAGGAGAAATAAAAAAGGTGCAAGCATTTCTAACAGTTTTATTTAAGGTAATGAAATGAGGATATCCCTGGCAATTCTAGAATTAACATGGGCAACATTTCAATGTAATAGCGAAATCCGAATGCTTTGTAGCAACAAAGTGTATTATTGCGCTTAGAATCAAGTGTTATTAATACTCTATCTGTTGCCCTGACAAAGCAGCTTGGGCATCAGTGTAAAAGCAGAGAACAGCAGTTGACAGGAAACACCTTCTGTGTCTCGATCCCAGACCAGGACAACGTAAAGCTGTCTCTATTCTGAAACACCCCAGTGGTACACTGTGCTGTGCAGCCAGGATCTCCACAGTCTGCTGTTCCAGTTTCCACTTGTTACAGGAAATTACATTTTCTCATATTTTTACAACCCTAAAACTTCATAAAATGTTAAATTTGAACACAATTGATTTCTTAGTTTTGTAGCACGTAACACAGTGTAGAATTCCAGACTGTAGGAACAAGTAAGGAACAGTAGATCACAGCATCGGCCTCTTGTCAGCAAAGGCCTCAGTTTTGTCCCAGTTCCTAAGATGCTGGACATCCCCCAAACCCCTGTTGGCATCCCCCAAACCGCTTTTACCGCAGGATTCGGCTCAGAGCACATTCTGCTGATGACTTCTCCTCACCAGCAGCTGACAACAACCGGTTTATTGATGCCATTAACAATATCAATCTTAAACAGAGCTGTTGGACACTACCCCCCCCCCCCCCCCCCGCCATTTTCCATCAGTCGATAACAATCAAGCTCCCAAGACCCTTTCCACACCCAGGAAACACAGGTCTAACCTCACCCAAGGAGAAACTCAGGCGCTCCAATCTCTCTGCAATAGAGACGATATTGTTCTGCACCTGAAGAAGGCTCCACAGCCAAAGTGCTGTGCTTTTTCTTATGTTTTCAGCATGGAATAAACCTTTACTTGTTCTTTTGCTGACACTGGTCCCTACATAGAATTGCATAGTAGCCCTTGTGTCCAGTTTTCTTCCGTCCCAGTTCAAACCAACTCTGTATGTCCATCTTATAAAATACTGCAGCTTCAGCAGAAAACAAAACTATGGACAAAGTTCACAGTGACCCTCTCAAAAAACATTTTGAACAAATTCGTGATTAGGCTATCAGCTTAAAATGATTTATTGAAAATATATATCACCATCTCATGCTATACATTTTTTTAGCATAACATCTAAGTTCAATGTGCTTTTTAACTTTGTGGTTTACAGTTCTGTGCAACTCTTGGAACAACACCATCGTGTGCATTTGATCGCATCAGCGAACTTGGCCCGATATGTGAGTATTTCTGCTTTAATTACATTTTATGTCCTGGTCTCAAACAGGAAGTTCTGTTTTTATCATGCTACTACAGTTTTTTGCTTGGGTGCCTTTTATATCTTGCAAAGGGCTGTCAGAAAATAGTACACATTTTTAAATGGGAGTGCAGTGAATTTGATAGAACAAAATAACAAAACACTATGACCACGACATTATTGAATTACCTGTTATAAGCTCACTTCTAATATGCTTGCTCTCTTAGGTGCCCTCTTGTTTACCTGCATAATATTATGCAATTAAGAAAGATTATAAAACGTGTTTTTATGTCTAATATTTGAATCTTGTTTTAGGTAATTCAGAGAACATCTGGATGCATATTGATGCTGCTTATGCAGGCAGTGCTTTCATTTGCCCAGAATTCAGGCATCTCCTCAATGGAGTGGAGGTGAGAATCCAGACAACCCTGCCCAGAAATCGGCACTGAGCAGCTCTGTGATTCAGACTTCCAGGACCGATACAGGTCAATACCAACCACCACATAAAAGATGAAGAGTTGTTATAAAACTGTTCACTAGTTTAAAAAAATCTGTACTAGGAAACCAATGTACTAGGATGTACTACTTCAGCCAATGATTATGCTGATATTTACTGTGTTTTCCAGCATCACAATATCAAAGCAAAACCCTGCTAATTAAACACAACTTTCACTGACACAGAAGAACATTCAAGACAGTGGGCAGCCCACAAATGTGTTCCTATTGAACCTATAGGTTGTGCTCAATTTGTGTAAATAATTGCCGTTGTCTGACACAGTCAATACCTAGGTACTAGTTATATTAAACAGAGGTATACAGTCTCAACAATATGAAAAGTTTCAGGAATATTTTATCACCTTATGGATAAGTTACTTGTGCATAGTATAAATTAAACTAAAATTTGTCTGGCCATGGTTTCATATTAAAGTATCTGAACAACTGTCACTACTTCTTCCCATTTTGTATATATGTTACCAGAATATAGTTCCTAATTGTTTATTTTATGCTGCAATATTAATACCTCTGTATTAGTATTGTGGGTATTGTTATATTAGTATGTAGTGTGCACCATCCCAAAAACGATAATAAAAGCAGAAGGCTTTAAAATTGTATATTTAAAAACCATATTTTCTTACAAAATTAGTTTTCCCCAGACAGCATACTGTTTTTGTGAACTACCTCGTATAAAACGAAAAACTAATATTTCCCAGACGTCATAATATACAAAGCAATCAGTGTGGAATTAAAAAGTATTAAACTTCCTTTGAATTGCAGTAGCTGTTCAGTAGAGCCTGGTCACAAGCAAAGATAAGGGTAAAGTAATTTCCTGAGGCATCAGTAGACCTTTAGATAAGTCCTGATCTCAGTGTCAAAGAAATATCACTGTTTATTAATGGCAGAAGTTCAAACAATAGTGAGATAGTTAGGAAACCATAAAAGATTTGGCTTTTATCAGCAGGTAAATGACAGTGGTTTGGAGTTTCCTGAAAATTTATTGGTTGCTAGGAAATGAATCACTACCAGGACCCTGCATCTGTCAGCATAGCAACTATTCAAGAGCCCTCGATTCCTTTCAGACCTCAAACATTTAAGTATCCTTTCACAGGCGTTTATTATATAAGAAAGGCATTCAGGGCGGATATTAGAAATGCAAGCAAAGGTAAATAGTTTAAGGTCTAAGAACTGTTTTTGTTATTTAAAATCAGAAACAAGTATTTAAAAGCTTGATGTCTCAAGGATTGTTCTATTATTTAGTATTTCATGAATTGAGCAAAACACTGTCTCGTTTATAAAAAAAACTTTGGAAACTTCAGCATTTTGAGCATACACAGCATTTAAAACCCTTAAACAGTATCAGAGTCTGAGGTAAAATCTAGCATTTGAAACACTGAGAACCCTATGGGCAAAATTAGTTCACTGATTACAATTTAGAATATAATAACACATCAAAAACCACGTATAATATCTATAGCGTGCGAATGACTACTTTGTGTGTGATTATTTCTTGACTGAAGTAGGGAGAGACATTTATGTGAAATTCTTATTTTTAATAATTCTTATCTCTGAGAAAGGCTCAACTTACCCCACCTTCATAACATCTCAATTAAACTGTTGAGATGAGACTGTTGCTGGCATTTAAATAGAAAGATTATATCATTATAATTCTAACTTAAAATGAATAATGATGATTAAATATTCATTAAATAAATAATTAAACATTTCAGAGTTTTGCTCGAAAAGTAATTGATTATTTTCAAATAATATATTAAATGAATGTTCAACAAATACACCAATATATTTTTTATATATTTCATATAAGGACCCTTATATAAATATACTGTATATTAAATATATGTATATTCATTTTTTTCTGTTTCATTTTATTTACATTGTGTGCTGTATTTATTCTAGTTTGCAGATTCCTTCAACTTTAACCCTCACAAGTGGCTTTTGGTAAACTTTGACTGCTCTGCTATGTGGTAAGCATCACAAGTGTTCAACCAGTGCTTTAAAATAATAAAGGTAATGAAATATTGAATGGCCATGGTTGGCAAGTTTTAACTGAATATTAAAGTGAAAAACTCAATTAAGTAAATAATCAAGCTACCATTTTTTTCTGTACAGTATCTCTTTGCGATTTCCCATTCTTAATCTCATGGTATCACCCCTGTTTCCAGCTTGTTATCCACCTTGTTCTGGGGAAAGGTGCTCTTGGTACTTCTGTCTCCAGATCTCCATTGCAGACAGTATGGGACTCATTAATTAAGTATGCTAGTGGTCAAAGTAAAATTCATTCTTAAGCATATGTTAAATTTGCTTGATAAAGTGGTTTCTGAAATCTAATGGGTGGATGAATGGAGCACAAATGCTCTTGAGTATCTGTCCATTGACATAACTACAAACATTAAAGCTGCATCCATGGAAAATGATGACTCAAGCCAATTCTTTTTCAGCCACAGCTGTCTAACTTGCTAGTCTACTCATGTCATATGAAGATTATTAGCCTTGACCTTGAAAGACCAATATTCACAATTAAGTCATCCACTGCATGCTTCATTTTACTTTATAATATAAGGAATCCGATAGATTTTCCAAAATAAGGGAAAATAATGAGGTATTAATAAAGTGTTTAACAAATTGATATGTTTTACAATAAAGTAATGACACTACTATTTACATATAAAAGTGTACAAATGCAATTTGAGGTGTGTTTTTGTATTTAAAACTCAAAAACGATGTGGTGGACTGACTTTATTAAGTAATGGGAAAGATCAAATTCATATTTCTCCAGCTCAAGCAACTACAGTACGTCAGTGTACAGGGAAGCACTCCTCCAGGAAGCAAGATTTTCCCCGTTATGTTGCAGGGATACCGAGGAGACTCCATAGGAGTCAGAGCTCACAGCTCCACACAATCACAGTAATTCCCCACATGGTCTGCTGTTGCTGTGCAGTACTGTCAGCTGCTGTGTGATTCTGTCAAGCAAAGATTGTTTGATTGATGGACTATGCCAAACTGGCCTTTTGGATTGATATTATATTATACATTTTTTATAAGCAACAGTAAGAATTACAATTTGGCATCATGTGTCCTGTGTCAGCTGTCGAACTCAGATGTCAGTGTGCACCACCACCTCTTGTTGTAGTTCGGAGTTATAGAGTCGCACTGGGGTCCTTGCAGAAAGGGATGCTGCTGTTTCTAGGTATTGTGCCTGGAATTCAGCAGCACAAAGTCACCTGCCTCATCTGGCTTTTTAAAAAAGGAAAAAGCCTCCCCATCTGCCATTTGTTTCAACACCTCTGAAAGGCTCTGTCTTGTTTCCATTGCACAGTCCAGTCTCTGTAAATACAGTAATATACCAGTATATCAGCATGGCCTTGGAACACAACAGTCTGCAGGTCATTTCCATCTCTGTGAATATTAGGGTGGTGAGTGGAGGTACTATTAATACTTAATGGAAGAACAGTTTGGAAATTTTACATTTTGGACTCCATATTTAATAGGATCATTTAAGGAAGGTGGTAATTTGTTAGTTGTCATCTGTATTTTAATACTTTACGAAAATACCCTTTTCCCTAAAAAGCAAGTTACTTTTTTATTTCTTTCGCCTTTCTTTTCCTCTTAAAAATGTAAAGGTGAATGTAAAATAATTTTCCTTTTATGATGTAGGTTTAGAAATGAACAGCGTATCAGTTGGAGGAATCGGTGTCTTGCCTGTTTCTTAATGAGCTGCTTTTCCTGGTTTCATGTTCAGTGATTCTGCCAGCAGTTACCCACATGCTATCAAGCTGGCACATGAAGAAATACTACAGCTGTAACAACACGATGTTATAAATCGTACTGTATGTAATACAAGTAGAAATGTTGAAACTAGTGATAGAAATGATACAGCTTTGTGGATGTCGAATGAAATAATAGCCAACACAAGTTCTACTTCTCTACTCTTAGTCTAGAAACAATATGAAATGTTTGCATTCAAAATATTGCAATGAAATCCACTGACCACAAAAAAAGAAATAATACTAATCGGCCTTTCGCAGACACAAATTATTTATCATGATTTTGTAACACCCTTGGTTAAAAGGCCTTAAAATATTGAGAAAATTCACTGAGTTTCTCTCCCCTCTTTCTTCTTGTAGGGTGAAGAAACGAGCTGATATTGTTGGAGCTTTCAAAATGGATCCACTATATCTGAAACATGATCACCAAGAATCAGGTTGTAATCTTCATTCATAGGATGTTGTATTTGATTTTTAACTGCTGACTTTTTTTATAGCCTGAAGTGAATTTGCTCCTTGCTAGTGACTACTGGTAGGAACATGACCAAGTTGTCTGAATGAATACTGTACTCTGAGGCAGTTGTGCTGAAGTTAAAATCTCTTCGGTACGCCTGCTTTACAGAACCAGTTTTGTGAGGTAATAGTCAATCACTTGTTGTCTTCAATTAAATGTTCAGTCTGGGAATAAAAGATATTTAATTTCAAAATAATCTAACAACCAAAAAGGCAAAGCTTGACTTAAAGACGCAGAGGATCTAGATAAATTAAAAGTGATCATAGTAAGTTTTTATTAGCTTCCTTTGTGGGCTAAACTGTGGGTTTGCAGAGATAGTATGAGTGTGCATGTTGATCTTTCTGAGGATAGTGTCTTTAACCCTTAGGAGGCTGGATTGCAGCTTGTGTTTATCAACCGTTTTAGAAGCAGGTCACACAACTGCTACCCTTCAATACTCCGCTCACAGCTGTGCCTGAAGCAGGGGCATAATTGCAGTGACAGGAAAACAAAAGACTGTTTCATTATCTTTTGCTATGTGACAGGCGTCTGCCTTCGCCTGGGTTGCCTGCTGTAGATGTTTAAAGATTACATGCCACCTACTACATCATCTCCTGAATCCAGAGTGCCAATATGAAATAAAAGTGAAATCAAATTATAGCTTATTGAAAGTGGAAAAACATCTTTTTTCATTTTCTCTTTTATTGAAGCAAAGACAGTGTGGTTGGCAATTTATCCGTGTTTTTGAATGAAAACGTTAACATTTTTGTCTCGTACGACAGGGATATCTGCACACATTACAAGGGTTTCTGTGAAATGTGCATTACTTTTTAGATTTGAGAAACTGTGTAAGGAGCATGCACCATCTAATCTGCTTACTTACCATGTATATTTCTCTTGGAGAGAGAATGCAAAGACCTTGTAGATGTTTGATTTATGTACTGTAATTAAAGAGTGATTAATGGTTGCAGTTTTTGTTTCAACTAATTTCTATCCTGTTCTCTTCCTGTTTCCAGGACTTGTCACAGATTACAGAGTAAGTACTTTACAAGAGTATTGGAATCAATTTGCCTCATAATAACCCTTAATCACAAACCTTCTGAGGTTTTTAGACTAGTCTAGCATTTTCTTGAGAATTTAATTGAATTTATAATACTGTAACGCTTACGGCCGACAGGCACTGTGTAAGAGCCGGCTTACCAGAGCAGGTGACGTCACCGCCCTTCCCTGTGATAGCAGGACCACAGCCCCTGGGCTGTAGAGAGATCTCTCTTTAGCTCACCGGGCTGGGTCCCTGTTGAGTGACGCGGGAGTCCCGGGTTCGAGCCCCCGACGGTGCGGGGCCGACCTAATACAGCAAGGGCGCCCGCCTGAGCCCCCGTTGCGTTACAATACCAAACCCATCATTATTATCAAAAGCATCAAAAATCTGTTCTTTTAACTGTTTCTATTTTTGAAAACTTTAGTTCACTGTTGTGGTGTCCAGTACATCACCAATCTTGTAGAATTCTCCTACTATCTTGAGTACATGAGAGGAAGTGTTTATGGCTCATCACTGTGTCACCTCAGCTATGTTTATTCTACCTGCTGTTTAATATTTATTAAATACTTTTTTAAAGATTTTTTTTACTGCAAAGCAGTGTCTGAAGGTGTTTGTTTCATGTATAGATACCTGTTGCTTTTCATTTGATTGTTACAGCCACATGAGTTACACCCCTCAGCAGTTCTTTCTTTCCTGAATTTTTACTTTACGTGACACCTCAGGCCTGGCTAATCAGTCCAGAGCTTGTCCTGGTGTCTAGGCCCTGTGGGTGGGGCACCAGTCCATTACAAGGCCTCATGCCAGCGGTGCTGGTCCCCACTTACACAGCTGGGCGCACTGGCGCAGCTGGAGTACTGCCCCTCACTCAGGGGTACAGCAGCAGGGACTCGATCCAAAGACAAATCCAAAGATTTAAGTACAACATTGCGCTGTCCCCGATAAATACTAGATTTGTCTACCAAAGATTTACATTTTTTAATTTTTGTGCAGTGGTGCTTTAAAAAAAACAAGTGAAACAATGTTAATATCCTTGTATCCAATGCAGCACTGGCAGATACCACTGGGCCGAAGATTTCGGTCTCTGAAAATGTGGTTTGTGTTCCGTATGTATGGGCTCAAAGGACTGCAGCAGTACATTCGGAAGGTGAGTCATTCTGGACTTTTCTGCCGAGTTCTCTTTTACCTGGTATCTGTTATCGGAATATACGGTACCATATATGCCAACTCTCTGACCTCACTTAACTGTTTTCTGATCTATTACAAATACATTTTAATGAGTCAGTTCGGGCACATTTAATTTGATCTTGCCTAGTAATTGAGCCTTATAAAGATATAACATTTATTTTGTCAATGTAGTTAAATATGAACTTATTGGGCAAGGAATTCAAAGAGTTATTATTTAGCATACCATTAAATGGTGTAATAGAAATGTCTTTTAATTTGTCCTTGGTAATGAGATATACATGACCTGCCTGCCCCTTCATTGAATACAGTACTATTTAGCTATTATTGTTAATCATAGATATGTTTTTCTGCTCGTAGTTTGTTCATTTCTTTTATATCCCACAGGTGTATTTTCACCACAATTTGCAAATGGGAGTCTCATTGACTTACTGTACCTATGTGATTTATACATGTTATTTTATGTCACACCCTTTAAAAAGCAGAAAACAATGTTCAATATTTTGCCTTCCAAGGGTCGATGTAGTTAACATAAGGCTGCCATCTGGTGGCCGGTTAAGTCGCATACCAGGGAGGGACCGCTCACATTAGGAGGGTCATTTGGTCTTCTGGTCCTTATTCCACTTGTGATCTTAATTAGTTAATTGAACTAATTAGCTAAGACGTTTAATCGGTTGTTGTCTTAGTCCCTTGTCAGATGCCAATAGAACAGCACCCGCACAGCATGGAGGCCAGACTCTTTGTACTCTTCACCACAAACCATGTTCTGTAACATTGCAGCATGTGAGCTTGGCCAAGGAGTTTGAGAGTTTGGTGCGCAGCGACCAGCGATTCGAGATCAGCGCGGAGGTCGTCCTGGGGCTTGTATGCTTTCGACTGAAGGTAACCCTCTCCCAGTTTTCGTCAGTGATGAAAAGGAAGAGGCAAATTAATTGTTCTGACTGGTTCTTTTTTAATTTATTTTAAACAGGGATCTAATGCTTTGAATGAAAAACTCCTTAAAAGAATAAATGATACCAGGAAGATCCACCTTGTCCCCTGCCACCTGTCGGGCAGTTTTGTGCTGCGCTTCGCTGTATGTGCGCGGACCACAGAGTCAAAACACATCCAGTTCGCCTGGAAGCACATCGCGGAAATCGCCTCCCAGCTTCTGCAGGAGCCGCGGCAGTAGGGGCGGAGGCAGATAGCGACACACCTCGACGACTCTCGCTTTCATCAAATGCAGGCGGGCACCGACGCATAGCCGAGGCCTGGTTCATTTCGAAACCCCCTGTCTAAAACACAAGCGCAGGCACTTCAACATCCATCTCTTTCACGTGGAGCCGCAGAAGGACGCTGAAAGTCGTGTTTTGCTTTTTGCGGAAGGTAAAATAAAGACTGAATTTGCACCGTTGATGTTCTGAAACAAGTTTGCGACTGTGTGCCATACGATTGAACTAACTCCCTAATATTAGCCCTACGGCGAATGAAATGGCTTTGATGTTTTTAACTTAATCCCTGGTTAGACTCACACTTTTAAAAAAAAAGGTGTTTAGTCCAGTCTAATCATCTTTCTTAGACGAGACGTTTAAAACTTGAGAGCTTTAAGATTAAGATGAGCTCTGAATAATAATTCTCATTCACAATCCATAAGTGGAAATGCGTGTGTGTGGTTAACAGGCCTCTCTCCTGTGTTGTGCTCGATATCAGACCAAGCCCGCTTTTCTCCTGCATACTGTAGTCGCGTCTGCACTACCTCCATGCTCACCCTGCACTAATGACTACTGACAGTGCAGAAACACCCCAAAGCCTTAAGGCAGGTTGTACGTTGTGTGTTTCTCTGTGCGCTTAGGCTTAATACTGCTGTTCATCCAGGCTGCTTCAAATCCTTTCCAAAGGGTGGTCAGGGAGCTAAAAATATAGCAAGGGATTTTGTGTGAGGGCAACTGGAAAAGGTTTGTCCATAGGTTTTGGATGAGTACACTTTATGTCCTGTATAGTATAATAAGGGATCTGCATCCTGATGCTTGAACTCAAACTGAAATGTGAAACAAGAAATAAAGATGATTGTCTGCATTTCCTTTCATGGCTCAGGAACTTTCTGAATGACTGGTTTTGAATCAAGATTTAAGGAAGATATCGCACTAAATATTAGTTGGTCAACTGCTGTGTCATCACCCTGCAGTCTGATCTCTGATTTAAGAGGCTAGACAGGGCTGGAGGGGAGACCTGAGCACAGCTCTGTTATGGGGATCAGTCTTGGCCAGTCTTGCCTCTGCACCTCATGTCCTGACCTGCTGGTCTGCTTGTGCAGCATCGTGGCGAGTGCTGTATTTCGCTGAAGGACAAAGCGAATGGTGCGACAGATGCTATGTGAGGCACGTAATGCAGGCAAAGGATTTTAAAACGCAGAGTCTGTTATCCTGTGCATTTTGTTCTCAACAGCTTGCAATATTTCTTACAATCTCCTCTGTAGGATCATATTACACAGTAAGAAAAAAAACGATCATGTTTTGTATCAAACAGTGATAATTTAATGTGTCATCGCCACATAGTAGGTTAGTATTGTAGTGCCCTCGGATTAATCTTTTCTCTCAGAAACCTTGAAATGTACAAGGATAAAGCCGATTGTATTTGCGACACGTGACTGCATTAGAATGTAAAGCTTTTTTAGAAACATTGTTCTTCCCCCCATCTACAGTAGTAGGATTTTATGTAAGAAAAGTTACAAATGACAGGAGGACATTCCAATCTCCTTCCTTACATTGTTCCATACAGCTGTTTTGAAGGCACATCCATGTCATTTCTACTTATGTTACGTTTCAGAGCTGATTCTGAAGAAGTCCAAGGCGTTTGACACCTGGGATCAGGTCTCCTGCTTCTCTTCTCTGTTCAGGACTAAAAACTTTCAGTTATTTTAGCATTTCAGTGTAGGGCATTCCTCTAAGCATTGTAATGTATCTAGTTGCATTCTTGTAGCTATGTTTTCCTAATTATATATTTCTTCCAGCACCTGCAGGAAAAATGTTCAGCTAGCCTTTTAAAAGTTCTGTTCTTTCCTGTGTATTTCCTTTCCGATTGTCATTGTGCCTTTGTCTCTTTAATTAGATATGCATTACTGTTGTATGCTGATTAACGTATGAGGCAATGTCTTTAAACATTTGCTGTTTTTGATACGAAACCATCGTTGTTAGTGCTGTGCCTCTGTTTTGTGTTGAGCCCAGCAGTTTCAAATAAAAGCCACCAGATGTCGCTATAACCAAATCAAAAGGAAACAATCTGAAAACTTACTACACCTAGTGGTCAGAATGTTAAACCCAGTGTAGTGTGGAGATGTGTCAGTGGCTGTTGGCTGCTAAAGAACGAGTAAAGGTTAATTACACCCTGAAAAGTAATAAGATGAAACAATGTTTTGGCTCTTGAGCCTTGCTTGACACCTAAAGAAGGCTCAGCAGCCACACACGTCTGGTACTGTATTGTGTTAGTATTGGATTGGCCAGATGTTTAAGGGTTCAGATAGCTTCACAATGTCAGATTAGTTTTGAGTATCTGCATCATATGGCTCATGGAGATCTAGCTGATATGTTATCTGTTTAAGTTCCCACCACACAGCCCTCTCTCAGCTGATTCTACTTTGCGAAGTGTTCCCACTGTCCACCTGGGCTTCCATTGCTATGTCCCAAAGGTCTAAAACAAATTTAAAAAGACATCAGGTGCTCAACCATATTACAATCAAGCCTGAAAACTTCATTTTTCCCCTCAAAGGATCTCAAAATACCTTACGTATAGGAGGGAAATCGCTTCATTCACTACCGGTGAGTACCCTGCTGACACTTATTATGCCGTTAGTTACATATAAATAAAAGAACCATGTCCATAGACATTACATGGCATTCCAATATTCAGTTGAAAATGCCATATATTATAGGTTGGTTAAATTCTTGTTTTAATGTGTTTTGCGCAACGCAGAACAGTGCTGTACTTGGTGGAGAAGGTTTGACTGCAGAGTAACAGAGGTCTCCTACATCTGAGGGACCCATTTTTAAAGTGGGGTAAAAAAGTGAGTTAAAGAAAAATGAGGTTTCTGCAGCACAAGGTCTTGTCAAACCAGTAGGTGGCGCCCTTCCCTCTGGACCAGAATTTACAAACCAAGAACCTGTACAGTGACCTGGGACTGTGTTGTAGGAGTTGCAGACCTGCAGCACCCCTGTCAGACTAAAGTCCAGATCTGGTTATCAAAGATCTCCATGGCTCTTATTAACCGCAGTGTCCTGTCTCAATTCCACCCTGAGCTTGCACTTGGACTACCAAGAGTTTCTCCTTAATTCAACTGGTGAAGCAATTTCCTACTTTTCTGCTGGGACTGTGCTGGTATAATAACAAGGGTAAATTATCCAGTGGATGCTGCACTTCCCCACAAGAACTTTCAAGGAATATTAATTATTATAATAAGAACATAATCCAAGAGGCACAGCCTTAGGAATGTTGGATTACTACAATATCCTTACCATTAAATAATTATTTGATGTGTGTGCTTATAATCCATTCTTCAGCAGTCACAAAGGGCCTCAAACCTCCCTCCACTGAGCTGAGGATGGATTTGATAAGTCACTAAGCAGGCCATGCTGATTTTTGAAGTGTTTTTAAAGATTTCAATTATTCAAAATATTAACACCTCTTTAAATATTTTGAAGTGTTCTTAAAATGTTTACCTGACAGTGGTGATTTTATTTAAAACATTAACCTTAGTTACTATACAGATTCCTGATACGCAATTCATGTTAAAAAGTTAATGTTGTCTTGGGCTATGTAAAACACTGCTGTCCAGTTTGTTTAATACATTATACCCCTTAATAGTCTGGTGGGACATGTATTCTTGGAGGTGTGATAGATGTTAATCACATTTTTCAAAGGTTCTAGTTATAAATGTTAACCATAATATTCTGTATTTTGAAAATATAAAAGATGTCCTTTGCTTATAGATTTAGCAAATTTAATGTTTGCAGAGAAATTAAATATTTGTTAAAACGTCTACATAAGAAAGCTCTCCCTATCATCTGTTTTTTTTATTTTCACTAGAATCCAATATAAATCCAATAGAGATTAGGCATTTTTAGTTTAAGTGTTGTGTCAAGAAAGCACACATAAACTTCCATGGCCTGTGCTCCATTAAGACCATGCTTTTCAGTTTGACTTGGACTGCGATCAGAAATCAGTGTAATATTAGGTAATCCTTTAGCAGTGACCTTTATTAATACTGGATATAAATACATCTGCAGTAAATTAACACCTCATAGACATTACTTGTCTGCGCTGTAAAATTATAATCTAAGATTACCAAATTTAACTATTTTCGATGAAATACATCAGACATACATTAAAAGAATATCATTCATATCTTTTATATCATGCTTTTTTCTGTGAACGCCATTATTCTGGTTTACAGCATGCAAGAATACATCCATCAGATGACTGGGCACTTCCTGTGTTTTCTCACGGAGAGTTCAGCCTTCATGTGTGGTAAAATCGACAGTCATAAGACTGTTTCGATCTTTATGAGAAGGCTTTATTGTATGTATGTGCCTTGTGTGCTAAAGGGAATGCAGAATAATTGAATGAAAAAACTAAACACAACTAAAAATCTTCTGTGCTTGAATTTTCCACTCTTTAAAAACTAGCGTGAATTTACAAAGCAACTGACATCACCAATATTGTACATTTTGGCTCAGACGAATTCTGTAATGATATTGTAGAAGAGAAAAAAAAGATTTCAGGAAATGAGGGAGAAATGAATCATTACGACAAATTTGGTAGTTTTGAAATATTGTTTTCTTCTTTGAGTTTGCTGAGCTTTGGAAGGGTTTGGCACCTTGAGGTTACCCTCCATTGCTCCTGTACCATTCTGCTTCTGGACAGTTTGTCGGCGATGTCACGTCTCTGTATTGCACGGTTTCTTCATCGCCAGCCTGCTCTGGGCGCCTCCTGCCGTGCAGACTGTGTACGAATGAAGCTGTGCCCAACCTTCCTGGATTAACACGACCGCACAACAGAGATGATCAGGAACATGAGGCTGAGGATGGCCAGAGCTGAGAACATGAAGAGAAGCCCAGCAAAGACTGAGTTGCTCAAGGGCAGGACGACTAGCCGGGCTTCAGCAGGGACCATGTTTGAGAGAATCAGCATGTAGCCCATAGACCAGGCTATATTGCTATTGTTTACCTGCGAGGAAAGAAAGAACACAAATTCAGGGTAATGGTACGATCGAGCAAAACAAAAGACATTTCTCAAAAAACAAATCCGTTGGAAGTATTTAAATAGCCCAATGCTGGAGAATGCGACTGTTTCTGGACAGACAGTGGACATATACCTATGTGCTATGAATAAAGTTAACAGTTACAGCTCAGAATGTTGTGCTCTCAAAAAACATGTGATGTCTTGTAATCACATGCAGAATCTGAGCATTTTGAATAAAAGGCAGGTCCAGTCCCTATCCAACATCTTAGGAATGGGAACAGCACAGAAAGAGACCAATGATGGAAAGCGATGTTAGTCAGCAGTTCCTAACCTGTGGGCTGTGAGGCCACTACAGCAGATCCATGGAAAGGATGTCTGTGACATGGAATGAAATTTAAGACCTATAATAAAGATTCCAGTCTTGCGTATTGACATTTTATTATCATCTAATTAAGTCACTTTCTGTGGTACTTAAACCATAGACAGGGTCGACATAAAACACACCTACTGTAGGACACATGTCATTCTGTTACTCTAAAAGATAAAAGATATAAAGAAAAGGAAAACAGTGTGTATGTATGCCTCCATGTGCTGCTATGATGAGAGTAGTGCCTGAGTAATGCAGTTAGTCTAACATGCTTGCAGCGACAGCAATATATTAGTTTAGTAAATTGTTGATTGTTGAAAGAACGGGTTTTGGCAATGTCACTCAAAGGTGTGGGAGGAGTCTGCCCACACATTCTCTCTCCCGTGTGCAGGAACTACGTTAGTAGCTGCAAGAAAAGGCATGGAAAATACACCACTGGCGAATTCCAAATCAGGTGGGGATAAAAATAATTCTAAAAATTAAATATATAAATTCTGAATTAAACAAAATGTCCAAACGTCAGTGTTCTCCACTATTGTCATTTCTGTTTCAAGAGTAGAGATGTAAATGGTAAAAATTGTGTAAATGACTAGAACAATGTATATCCACATGCAACCTTTTTCAGCAGAGTGTAAAATACTTTAGATTTTTTTTATGCTGAATATTTTAAACTACAGATTTTTCCTTACGCCTCTTACCTCTTTTTGAAATCTGATCTGCTCCCAGGTATGCGAATTAAATTTATATCCATATACCAGCAGATTGTAGATGTAGTTTGCAGAGAAACAGTAAGACCGTAGGTATGACTCCTTCACACTTGAGTAATTTGATTGGAGCTGCAAACAGATATGAAAATAAATGCTCACTGTTTTACACCAGTACTTTGTGTGGAAGATGCTTGCTTGGGTAGTGCGGCTGAAGAACTACACATAAAACACTCATGACAAACATTATACAAAGCTCCAGAACTGAAGTTGCATTTAAGTTCAGGAAGTGTTGGAGTTCATACTGTATGTATTCACATGTAATTAATTATTGTACATAATGATGTGTATATACTGTATGTTTGTTGTTATTATTATGAATTACTTTTATATTTACTGAGATATAATTAGCAATGACAGGATTTATTATATATATATTTCCAATACTTTAACCATGCTTTGAGTCTATCAGACTCATCACAGGTTGGACTGCTAATGTGCAAGTTCCCTTTTTCCCATTATACTAAGATATGCACAACACGTCATAATGTGTAACATCTCTAATAAACCCTTCTTCTTAGAAGTAGTTGCTTCAAAATAAACTCAGTGTACCGCTCTCTGTATATTTAAAAAGGACGAAAGAAAATGCAGTTCTTGTTTTGTAGACGTGTCAATTGTGGCAAATGAGAAATGCACAGATAATTACATATATCACAGAGAAATCAATGTCACTTTTTTTAAAGCGGCTTTCTAATTTTTCTTTGCAAATCTTTCAGCTGTACAAAGAGAAAAGTATGGAAGCCCATTTCCGCCAGGGAGTTAAAAAAAAAAAACATGGCCGTTTCCGCCAGGGAATTAAAAAAAACCTCTGTGGTATCTTGCAATCGCGAGTTGATATCTCACAATTGCGAGTTGATATCTCACATTCCATTGCCTGTCCTTTCATTGTAACGGATTCGGGTTCTAGGGCTTGTGCCCTCGCCGCTCCCAGTCTAGTTCGTCCCTCACTGCATGGGCTCGAACCCGGGTCTTGCCACCAAGCAACTACAAAGGCAACACATTTTAATTAATGTGCTTAGTGAAACCAGGCATTGACTAGAATACCTCTTTAATGTAATGTGGGAAATCAATGGTTCAAAATGCTTGGACAATTGCTCTTATACAATTAGGGTGTGAGCTGATGACTGAAAAAAGGACTCACGTCTTTCCACTTCCTTGAACAGAAGGACCATGTGGTTGAATTGAAGTCTTCAAGAGAAAAATAACCTTTTAATTTTAAAGCTCCAGTTGTGTAATAGAACCCAGCATATGCCTGAAACAACACCCAGAATTGCTTGGTCACAATAAACTTCGTATACAATTTGTGTCAAGATGTATCGTTAAGCTTAACGCATTTAAAATATAACGTATACATTATTTGTGCTGTATTACTGCATTATCTTTGCTAGCTAACCTAAATTCTTTGTTAAATATGATGAACCAAAAGGTATTTTAAACATAACAGAAATTTAAATATATATTTTTACATTGCTGTTGAGTGTTTGAAAACTTACCACAAACATTCCAGTAAGAGCCGGCTGGTAGACCCCGTTGAAAGAGCAATGGTCCTCCCCCTCACAAGAGGAGAGATTGAATATAGAGAGCACTGTTTCTCTACACAGAGCTGGGTCTCCTGTTCCAACGAAGGTTACATGTTTCTTGGGATTGTAATTGACTGGCTTCTTTGCTGCTGTACACTGACTTCCAAAGATATATTCTTCAGGGATTACAGCGCTGTAGTCTTGAGGGTAACAGGGGTTTTCTGAGGTGCCAGAAGACGTCTGGGGAAGAGAACATAGACATCCTTGCAACAAAGATCGTTTGCATGTCTGACAAGACGATGGCAATCATCCCCATTCCAGATTTTGTTACATTGTGGTTTAAAAGACCCTCATGTATCATCTACTGTGGCTTTGAAAAGTATTCAAACCCTTACAGGCTTTCACGTGTCGAAAAGTTCGTGTGGGGATCTGCGTCAGCATACTGTACTATACAAAGTAAATTTCGTGTGATCTTCTCTATTCGCATGCAGGTTCTGACGTCACCCCTCTCCACTTCGCACCACATGAGTGGCCTCTCTGCCTCTCCCCTCTCCCCTCTCCCAGCTCTTGTTCTCCTGTGCTATTTAATCTTTGCTTTCTGCCCTGTCTTTCTCACACCCGAAGAAGGCTCCACAGCCGAAACGTTGTGTTTTCGCTCTTCTCTTTTCAGCAGGGAATAATCCTATTACTTGTTCCTTTACTGTACTGTACATTGACTGCAAAGGAGCAAGTCAGGTTTAATTGCTTACTGAAACATACTGTAGAAATGCAACATTTAAGCTGTTGAGCGTTTCTTTAGGTTTTTAGAATGAACCTTCTGTTACAGCCATGAGTTTTGATTACTCTTTTGAAAGTTCTATGCTAAACAGACAAATGCAATAATTTAGTCTAAGATTTCCTGATTTCAGATTGCCCACTTCTGCCAACAAAATCCTAGTAAATTCATGGCATAAATGATGAATTTCCACAAACTGGTTAGAAGTTACCAAATGGGTAAGATGGGTCATAAAGCCCATCTTACTGTACGTTCTTAAAAAGGACATTTATGTGAATATTTCTAGAACACTTTTTTTGGGGTGTACTACCTCTTAAACTACTGAAATACAAAACTATTTCTGGGTGGATTCCATTCATGCATTCTTTTTCAAATTACAGAGAGAATATGGACATTATGTAGACAGACATAACACATTTATTATTGCAATACATCTTGCTCATAATGACTGTGCCTGAGGTTGTATGTCATATAATTTTGTAGCTCCAAACCTCCAAACTCCGAACCTCATACAATAATTAAAAAATATTTTCTCAAACCACTTCATCAAATTCACTTTGCATTATTTACAGTTTACGCTTCCTTCCAAATTTAGAGAAAAACAATTCCTTTCATTTCAGAAGTTCAGTAAAAAACAACCCTGAATTGGCTGAAGCTTAGAGAACGGATGGATGGTTGGGTGGAATAAACATAAATATTCCACTGATAAACGCTGTTACAAGTGTATTTCGTTGAGTGATATTTCCAGGGAAAATAATGTGCCTTTATTAGACAAAAACAGGATGAGACGGCCAAATACTGTACATCAATTCATAGCGATTGTGAAGGTCAATAATTTAATCCCTTAATGTATTTTCGGTCTTATTTTGTGAAGCCAGTGTTTTGTTAATGCACAAAGCGGCGACTTCATGATAGATCATAGATCAAATAGAATCACAATTCCCATCCATTAGGTATTAAAAGCCTTCCAGGGGAGTAAACACTGACAGTTGGTAATTAGATATTCCTGGGATGAATATGGAGCTCTTAAAAAAGCTTCACACTCCACATGACACATATGGAAAACATAGAAGTGTGGATTCATAACAATACATCATCTCTACTGTCACACACAATACATTGTAATGATGGTGTGCAATTGGGAACATTTGTATTTTTTATCTGTGATATAGATTCACAAAGCTTTAATATGACCATACTGTATATGCAGTGAAAATAAGCCAGCTTAACATTCAAAAGGCTTTAGAATATACAGGATGGACATCATCAAGAGCAGAATGAAGTCTTACAAACGAAGGGGCTCTGCAATGGATTGGTAATTGTACCACATTAGGCAGCCAACAGCAGCAGAGAATCATTTGAGCAAATGCAAAAAGAGAATTCAGAGTTGCGGATGGCAGACAAGAGGGTTAAAAATCTGCTTGAATGTTAGCAGACAGAAACGGGCAATGGTGGCGTGAAGAATTACAGGTAAAAAAGAATACTAGCTATAGTCTGCTGTGTACATTAAATTGTACACTCGCAGATAAGAAACTTATCATCCAGATATCTTTTAAAAGAATATACCTGTACCAGAGCTGCTAGGACTTGCCTCTCTGCTTCATTCCTTCCGTAGCACGTGTAACTGTGAGTGTACACACTGTACTCGTAGCCGTAGAGTGTGACTCTCCTGAATCTGTCACTGGTGTCAGGTTCTTCTGGGCTGAAAGCTATCTGGGTAGAAGCCCCACCTAAGTCCAGAGACCCAATGGTCTTCGCTCCATGAGGGCGCACCCATGCATTCCAAATGTTTTTCTGCAAGATAAGAAGAGGTGAAGCCTGTGAACAGAAGTGCCAATTTACACAGAGCTTGTGATGAACAGCGAACAAACACTGATGCAATGAAAAGCAAGCCACAGACGCTAAACGGCAGCTCCTTGCCCAGGTGTCATTTTGAGCTTCCTTTGACTGTTGACTGTTGTTGGGAAAAGGAGGATGAACTCATGATCTCACTTTGCTCCAAGTAAAGCACCACAGGTGTCCATACATCTCCCAGACACTTACTAATATGAGTCTATAAATACCAGGGCTGTGTAAGGCTGTAGTCTGACAGATCAGCATTTTTACTGAGACACTTTACTGTAGTGATTCTGTTCAACGTGATACATATGAGTACATTATTTTATTATTGCATGGTAAATGATTATTTCATTCTCAGCAACGTAATAAAGAAAATAGAGAAACGATGCATTTGTTGACTTTGCCTTTGCTATTCTAGAAAAAATGAAAAAGGCTTTACTGGAGACAGCAGTATTACTACAATTGCTTGTTTCTATCTTTGCCATTAATCCCAGAGATTGTTTTCGCACATCTGGTCCCTTTTATTTTCTAAATATGATATTCACAAAATTGTATCAGATGTTTTGGATGGCAACTAAGGAGGAACTCCTCTCAAGTTTACAAACATGCAACTAAGAGAGTGTCAGGCTGGGACTTTGTATAATGACATTGTATAACGCTAATTGTGTGTATGTAAAGTAAAATTAAATGATAGCACGTGTCTTTTCATTGTTGACAAAGACAACTATTTTAGTATTTGGGCATTTGTTTAAGGAAAACGTTTTGCATGTGGCACCGTTCACCTGATAACATTGACATTCTTACCTAAATACAGCCAGAGTGGCAAGTTTCAACGCACCTCCAGGAAATTATCCATTAGATAGTTGGCAGTAATCCATCCGTAGAGCCCCTCCTCTTCCCCAGAGATGACAGAAGCATTCTGGAAGCGGAATGGGAGCCTCTGGAGGTACCTTTCCATTTCGGACATGATTGCGTTGGCAGCAGTTGCATTCTTCGACCTAGTTATTTCAATGAGGAACATTTTGGTAAATTGCAGTTGGTTTAATATCTTCTTAGCTGAGAATCAGCAAGACATACAGTACAGACTTCTGAAACAAATGCAACACTACAGTTCCCGTCTTGTGCAGTGTTGCTGGTGACTCGATTCATTAACCCTGCCAAACTCAGATGCGAAAACTGCAGGTTGTGGACCTATGAAACGCTTACATACTGTAGAAGCAGCCATCTTGATGTCCCATAGTGACATATACTGTACCATTAAAACCTTAGTGATCTTAGCAATGGAACTAGGCTTTCGAAGTTCTTCAGCTAATAACACTTGACACGATGAAGCTCAGTCTTCAAATAATCCATATTCAAATCATACTGTATATGGCAGCTGGATCTTGTACAAGGTAGACTATCACTTGATGAATGTGATATATGATTCTAGAACCACATTGCTTATTTTGCATGGAATAAAAAAGTTTAAGAAAGGGTTAGAACACATATGAATGCTTCAAGGTTTGATTCTAGGTTGCAAGTACGTAAATGGCTGAAAGTTTTGCAAGGCTGTTTTTTCATTTGTCTGATCTGTATAAACCTTCTTAAAGGCTCAGAAACAAGTCACAAGGCGTTATGTATAGTAATTATGTACAAATTATATGGTGCTTACTGTAGGTTACCTTAGTAATCTCATCCCAGCGGTTGCCCCCAGAAAGATGGGTGTGGTGTTATGCTGGGAAGGTGGTATTTTTTGCTGCGTTTTGTTCATGCAGTCTTCCATTGAACTCCAAGACCTGTGGTCCTGTTCTGCATTAAGACCCAAACTCGATATCCCGGGACCTGAGAAGTATGAGTGCCATCTTCAGCAGTGAAGGTGAGATGCGTCTCCAGTAATGCGATCTGGAGTGCATATTCAGCAAATACTATACCTTGAAGCTTCAGAAAGCATCAGCCAGGTTTATATCTATTATTGTTGACATGTTCCTTAAGTATAGCAAATGATTAGGTTTCGAAACTTACACACTTACAAGAACATGATAGTTTGGGAAAGAACAAAGATGGCTGTCTGTCTTCTTTAAACCTTTTTCTAACCACTGGATTATTGTGTTTTCTTTTACCATTTGGTCCTTCATCACAGAGCTACAGCAGAGTTTGGAGAAATTCTCTGCATTGCTCACTGCTGTCATGTCCCTCAGACGCTATACTGCATTTCACCTGGGAACACCGAAGTGTTTTGTAATGACAGGCCATGGCTTCTCAACCATTGCTAACATGAAGGAATCATTCATTGCAGATTTCAAACACTACTCAGAATACCTACATGTAAACATAGTAGAACATTACAGCGTATTTCTCCAAACTGAAATATTTTTCTCAATGGATTCCATTCTGTAATACTGAGACAGAAGTCAGCAAATACAGAATATATTGTAGACAGACATTAACTGTATCTGCACTGCAGTTATAGGGATTTACAGGGACTAGTGGGGTTTTAGTATTGATCTTTCTAATTTCTTCCATCGATTATGGATTTGTTAAACATTTCTCTTGCAGAAATCAGTTTAATTATGAATGTAAACCCTGCTTCATACCAATAGAATACATGTGTTGAACATTGTTCCTTAAATTTTTAATTTGACTTCTTGAAATGTTTTGCATTGAATTTTTATAAAGTCTAAAAGTTTGAAAATGCATGGTATTTATTGTTGACTAATCTTGTACAGGCATAGATGTCACATTAGGTTACACATGGTACCATATACTGTATATACACATCGTCTATATATATATTGGTCTGTCACAATCACCCATTCCCTCCGTCTAGGAGTTTATACAATATCTTTTATCAAAGTTTTTTATATTTTCTTAATTTTTGAATTTGTGAAGTACGCAGTGAATTTTTTTTCCTGTTCACAATTCTTCACGTACTGTATAAACAGTAAACTCTTACCGTCAATATTGCAAATCATAATCTGTTTGACAACTCCGGTATTGTTCTCCTTTTCAGCAGGCCACTTATAAACATACACTGTTGTCCGTGAGGATCCAGCATCAAGGACAATTCCATACTGTGAGGACAGAAGGAAAACAATCATTTATTTAACTTTATGTGCTGTTTCCTGGCTACACACTGGTAAAGACCAATTAAAATACAGGAATCCTCTTTGTCTGTGTGATGGTTTTCCATAACATCTAGTGTTCACCTGATGCAAATATACTGTACTACCATGTCCTGTATGAGGTAGGTAGGGTTTAAATTTTAATTTAATTCAGACATAAATCACAATGTCCTTTTTTCTAAGGATTCCTCACTAATACCTAGTGAATCCTCAACATGTGTAGGCTACTGGCATGATGGTTGACAAAGCAAATACTAATTCTTCCACACATTTTACATAGGCCCTTTCTAATACACTTAAGTGGACACTTAAGTTAGTCCAACAATACTTCCTTTAAATAGTAGATTTATCTTTAAATGGTAGAGATGTTAAAGCCATCCCTCTGTAGATATCCCAAACACAATTAACCTGCTGTATACCTACCTACTGTACCTACCTATTTGTCTATTGTAACTCATTGGCAGCCTAATATCACTAACATATTGTAATATGCTCACGGGTTGGGTGGGATCCCACAGGGCTCCTAAGTGCATCACTTCGGCACTGAAAGGTCCTTCTCCCCTTACAAAGAGGAAACATGCTCACTTGACTTATGGGTGTGCATGTTGCAATAGTCATTTTAGAGCTGCTTTGCGTTTTTAAGCCCATTTGTAGTCTGTTTGTCACAGTGCTGCACATCAGCTATGGTTTGCTCTTCATTTCCTGTGCTTATTGGTTTTAATGGTTTTAAGGGATTTTGGAAATGGAAAGGAAGTCATTTTCTTCATTTTTAAAGACCACTACATGAGTTATAATTAGTCTCCAAGGCCCTCACATTTAGAGTAAGTGTTCTAGGCCAGTCTGTCTCCTTAATGGCTTTTGTGTTAAGTCCTTGTAAAAAACTCAGTGTAAAGAGGGCTCTCCTACTCTGTAGCCCGAAGTGGAAGAAGGCTGTGTAATAGATTCCAGAGACGTCAGCAGACGGAAAGAAAGAAGGAGAGATGTACAGTAAATCAGATTAAAGAAAGGCTGTGGTTTCGGTGCTGTGAGTGAGCTTGACAAGTGATGGCAGAGGGATACAGTGTCTGTGAAGGGATGGCTGAGTGGAGGGGAGACAGGTCAGGCTGCGGATCCACGAGGGGAAACGAGAACAGGTGAAAACGGAGAAAGAAGCTGCTTCAGAGCTGTGTGTTGAGGAGAAGCTGTGGCGTGAAGCAAAAGCCAGAGAGAAAAGTGTGAGGTGAAAGAGGGAACCAAGCAAGAGCAGGGTCAGAAATTCACATGTCAGAGACAGAGGAGAGAAGCAATGAGGTGGGAAATTGTGTGAAAATCATCTGAATGTTTAAGGATGAGGACATAGTGGATTGAAGCAGTGAAAGTATGTATACTCTACACATGTGTGTGCTTTTGTTCAGTGTATAATCACACCTATGCCTTTTCTAAAACTATTTTCCTTATAACTACATTTGCACTACCCCTATTTCAAATTTGACCAAATTTAAAATATTCTGCATTTGAAGTCAGCATCCTGAAAACAAGCATTTGTTCTTTATACAGAATCTATTGGAATGACAATCACTAATCCTGTGCCTCATGTTACAACCTTGCCTCCCATAAAATCATATTAATTACATAAAAATTCATAAAATGCCACTCTTTTGTCATCTCACTTATCACTATCCAAGTCCAGGTGTTTTTATGGCTTCAGTGTGCAAAGCAATGGCCAGCACAGCCCTATACAGCCAAATTGTAACTGAACTACCATGTTGGAATTGCTTTATTTTCCAGTTGGCTGCATCATACTTAATTGAAGTCGAATACTGAAATTGAACAACTTAATATGAGACCATGCTATTAATACCTTAGAGTCTTACCTTATCTCCTGGTGACAAGTAGTGAGTTTTATGAATCTGGATAATGGCCACTGTGACGATGACGGTCAGGCTTGTCAAAAGGAAAAGAAGAGCAAGAGCAGCAGCCAGCTTGGAAGCCATTTCCTGTGTCAGAAATGACCAGCAGCACTGAAGGCACAAGAAGGGCAAAAGCTTTTCACTGCTGCTCTCTGAAGGGCGACCAAAACAAAAATACCCATTCTCGTGATAAAAGCTTAAAGGAAGATGGATTTCACAGTCATGCGCTGGAATTCGTACTACATTCTTTTTATTAAACCCATTTGCGGGTTTTTCTAACACATTCTATGTGTTATGTGTTTCTAACCCATCTTTTTTCCAACACAGTGATACAGTGACGGTTGTGACGGTTTTCCATTAGGAGAAGGTACAAAAGCGACAATTTCGCGAAGGATATCCCATGACCGCCGTGTTTCCTTCACACACCTTAGCTGACTAATTTGAATACATGGTGAAAATAACATGAGCAAATACTTGTGTTTGAACTCCAGGGAGGATCTTGTTTGCAGTAAAAATAGAAAACAATGTGTCAGCAATAAAGTATACCTCTGCTTACCTCAGCAAATACAATAATTACAGATGAAGTTCTCTCCGATTCACTTCTCCTCCAAAAACGGCAAACGTTTACCACAGTCAGATGAGACGAGGTACATTTTGCTGAATGCTATCATTTTGGGAGGGGGTTACAGTTCACAAACAACGGAATTGTAAATATGCATCTTTATTTAGAAAAAGGGCTTTCTAAATGCTGTTTACAAAGTTCATTTTTCACTCTGTAGCTTATGTTTCTACTTCAGCTATTTTTAAAGTGCAATTCTGGTTGTAAACCAGTGAGTGTATGCATATACATTAAATATAAATGCATATGTAAAAAGGTATCTACATTTTTACTTCCAATAATGTCTTAAAATATCTTTATAGCTTCACAAAAACATGTGAAGAACTCACTGCTGTTCTCAGTATTGTGTAGGTTCTTAATATTTGTTTAAAAGTTTGTCTCCCCTTACAACGCCATCTAAATTGCTATTTTCTCACAACTAAGATTGATATTTTTATATACTTCACTTAAAATTGACAGATATCAGATCAAACAAGATTAAAGACAATTCCTGGTACCTATCATCTACTGTGCTGTCATAGCAGATGAGACTCAACGGGAGAGACCTAGACACATATTTGCAATGAGGTGGAACAGCCAGGATATCTGTAAGACCTCACAAATCAGATTTATAGTCAGCTTCTGCATGTCTTCACATACAGTACAAGCCTCCTTATAATTGTCTGCTCTCTTTTTCACATTTTAACGCACTTAGAATTTTACATAAACAGTTTTACTCATTTGACCATTTTTGTTGCTAAATGAAACTTCTGTTTCTTAAAATCAACATGAATTTATTTCTCAGTTGTTTAATTCTAATCAGAGACTTCTTCAATTCAAGAGACTTCCTTTCTGTCGGTCGGCAATGTGTTATTTAATAAATACATTTTAGTGAGATCACTACTTCCTAAGTACTTTAGAATGTGTCAACATTTAGTTGCTATTAGGCCTTACATGGCTCAATGCCTTACTCAAATGCATCATTTACTCTAAAATGTGTCCTTTTAACTCGTTTAAAATGCAAATGACAATTGACAGAATATTTTAGATTAAGTTAGCGTATTCAAACTGTTAGTATGTCAGTTTTGATCGATTTTATTTTGATGGATTTGTTCCATAATTTTTCCCCCCTAATAAGCAAGAACCACTGGTTACTTATGCTGGTATGACAGACATATCTAAAGATTTTTCAAATATTATCTGTTTTTAGAAACCGCCTTTCTTTCAGGTAGAAAATGGATGTAAAATGGCAGGCAGCATTATTTGCACTAAGTTTTATTTCTTGATTGTTTCATAGTCATTTTAGCTTTTCATTACAGCTTCTTAAAAAGCGAATAGCAATACAAGGTAGTGTGAAACTTTTTTTGCAAGAACACTACTGCGATCTTTCAGAAAAGAGAAAAATTGCTACTCCTCTTCCCCAGGGGGTTATGGCAGAGATGCATTTGTTTAGAGTGCCACAGATTGGCACACATTTCTACAGTACCTGTATGCATTGCTTTGCTCTCTTGGTGTTCTAAACATTAAAACAATTAGCTGCAAAAAAACAGTGATGGAGCCTGATCATACAATGTAGATTATAACATAAAATAAACCAACATCCCTCCGGGTTCCAGTCGGGATTCTGGTAAGGCACAGGGAATTGTAATCTTTTAGAAATGCTTGAAAGAGTCTGCCTCTGGACAAGGCTGTGATGGAAGGTTGGGGACCCTCTTTAAGTTTAAAGGAAACCATATACAACCAGCACAGCTGTGTTTGTATCTCTGCAAGAAGTAGACAAAGATAGTTTGCCTCCATCACATTACTCTGCATCACCAGCAGTGAGGATTTAATGCAGATAAAACAATTATTTAATTTTGGAAACAGGTTCCCTGTTCATACTGAAAACATAAAATACAATCTTTAATAAGACTTTCAAATAACCATTGATATGACAATATAATAAAATAATAACACTATTTTGACCCATATATTGATTTGACTTTTTATGCCAAAGTAAAAAAAATCTATTCCTAAAGTCTCCAGCAGATTATATTGTTTAAAATGCAAAATACTAAAATGGAAATTACATTAAAACATTTCAATTTTTTTTTTTCAGTTATTGAACCAATTACCTTCAGGTATTAAAAGGGTTCATGCACCTTGTGCTTTTCAGCTGCTTAAATAAAAAGTTTATACATGCAGAGAATATGAACACATTTTTTTTTCCTTTTTCTTATATTGTTAGTAATCACACAGCATTTTGGATCAAAAATAAAATTATTTCGTTTTCTCCATTAACCCCACTGAAGTAATTTAGGTGAAGATATGCCTAATGACAAAGTAAGATTTACTGCATAGATAGTTGGTAATACAATGCCCTAAATGTAACGTAATTATTCAGTTACTTCACAGAGAAATTAGGATTAGCAAATCACGTCTACAAGAAAGGAACCTTAAGCACCATATAGTTTAAAACACGCATTTTGCATAATGCTACAGAAATAAAATGTCTTATATCCCGAAATGTAGTTGTATACAGTACATTCCTAATGGTCCACTTACCTTTCTGTAAGGTCCTTCTTAAAATCCTTCTTAAAATCACATTACTTTCCTTTGCTAAATATAGGTTCTCAGTGATTTACTTGGGCTGGCTGCCTCTGCTCAGCTGATCGTGGTTTACAAGGATGATTCTGTGCTTTAGATCAGTGCTCTATATGCATTTGGGCCACTCCCAGATTCTCAGTGCTACCTTCAGAACATGCACAAGTTTTATGATTGGTGAAGAACCATGACTGCAGCTTTATCTACAAGTCATCACTCATCACACATAAGTCCCTTTTAATTCCACAAAAGGACCTTCCTACAACACAGAACCTTACTATAGCAAGGCGTGATCTGTCTTTGTCTTTAAATGGGATTCACTCATTCTGCAAAAAGTGTACATTAAAAATTCACACGATCTCTCAAAATTCCTCAGGAACAGGATAGGACTGTTAAAATGTTCAGATTTACAAAAGAAGAAATTGTGTTCTACGACAGCTTTTTTTAAATAATGAGGAAATCTAGACTTTTTACATCTTGAAATTTTTAAATGGTGTAACCATCTGATTCAAACATTATACATAAAAGTATTGATTATATATTTTATAGAGGGCAGTACACAGTGGTCATCATTGCTGCCTCGAGGTGCTGGGGCACTGGGTTCAATTCTGGACTTGGAGGGCTGTCTGTGTGAAGTTTGTATGTTCTGCCATGTTCATCTGGGTTTTCTTTGGCTGCTCCAGTTTCCTCCCACAGCACAAAGACATGCTCGTGGGTTAAGTGGCTTCTGGGAAAACTGACCCTGAAGTGAGTGTGTGTGTGTTTGTGTCTGTGTCTGTGTGTGCCAGGGGATGAACTGGCGTCTCGTCCAGGGTGTATCCTGTCTGGGATAGGCTCTGGTACTGCCTCAGCTTGTGTGATGTAACAGAAACCTTAGGATGCAGCCTGTTGTCTGGGAGGAACTAAAGGGGTTGAGTCACCAATCTGTATCAACCTGTAAAATATAAGTGACATAAAAAAGAATACAACTAAAATTCAACTTAACTAATAATTCATTCGATGGAGCATATAAAAAAGAAAATTTTACTGAACTGAAAAAGACTAAAGGTATCCCTTAATCAACTTTAACGGTAGCTTCATTACTGGAATGTGAAGCTGAAACAAATGGATGTGCCAGATGCATTCAGATAGAAAGGAAATTGTGAGAAATAAACTGACTTACTCTCCTAATTCATCAAACACTGAAGTGTAACTTATTTTTAGCAACTGGTTATATGATTTGATATCCATTTGTCTGAAAGAGCCAGAAAGAGAACACTTCTTAATTAGATTTGAAAACTGAGACATAAAGGCTATCCAAGCCTTTAGAAACTCCGGTTAGAATTTTCTCACTAAATATTAATGTGATTTACCACTTGTTTTATTCCAATACAAGCATCACACTTTTGTATTTGAGCATTTTCTCTTTTTTTATCACAAATTATAAAAATTCAAATGCAATACAAGAACTGTAAGCCTGATTTTTAACCCATACTGTACTTGTTTAAACCCCCTGGCTGCTTTGTGTTCAACTGAAAATCATAACTTGTGTGAGAAGAGTCCTCTTATACAGTAAATGCAAATTGAAAGGGAGCATAACATTAATGTGACATAAACATAGTATGTGGAAAAATCATCCTTAATCAGAAATGCCATGATGCACAAGGTGCTTATTTGTTTGCAAGTAAATTAAAGTAGTAATTAATAATTTAAACCAATTTAAATCACACCAGGCTATCATTACATCTTTCTCAGTCAACAGAATGTTATTCTCCTCTACCTAGTGTAGGCAGAACACACCTAATACAAGTGTCTCTGCCATTAGATAACCCTATGCTCTATGTTGTTTTAGCTCTAAAGAGAGCTTACGTTGAGAGGAGGGTCATAATGGGAAGGCTGTTCATAGAGAAAAGCAAATAAAGCAAACCACCAACCAGAGTTTTTTTTTTTTTAAATAAAGCTGACAGTTGTACAAAAACATCTGTTTATTTCAAGCCTTTAACTGATAATTCTGGTGGTGCAGTCCAGGAATATTATTGTTTTCTCCTCTCTGAAAGCTCCACGGCCGAAACGTTGTTTTTTCTGCTCTTTTCAGCATGGAATAAACGTATTACTTGTTCCTTTGCAACATTTTGAGGATGTTATTACACAGATGTGATTCGCAAGTCAAGGCGGCTGCATGTCAAGAACTAGCGGACAGCGACGTCTAGAGCTCAGGAGCTCAGTTTGGTATCCTAGACCTAGGCAAACACGAGTCAAGTCGCTGGTTTGTTGTACAGGTTCCTGAACTGTACGGTGTGGTGCATGTGTACATGTACTGTATACAGGACCGAGCACTTTAAAAAAAAAAAACTTTTTAATCTAACATCAAATAACACAAAGGAGAAAATGTATCCCCCAAAAAAGGATAAGGGAGAAAAAACAAAACAAAGCGCAGAACAGTACGCTTCCAGAGGTAATTAAATCAGGACCCAAGTCAAAATTTTGACATACATCAATTGTGTTTTTTGCCTTGTTATTTTTCGAGGTTTTAATGGAGTTCAAGTCATATTACTTTTCCCTCTCGCAGGCGTTACAGAAGGGAGTAGCGCTAAACCCTTGTGTTCTGCGGATGTGATCATCTATACATAACAGCGCTAACAGACTAATTGTTAATTAACGCACGGAGTGGGACAGAGCAGTCGCGCCGGAGAAGCCCCTCGCTGACGTCACCGCGCAGCGGCTTCACGCACGGCGCGCCTGCGCAGAAGGGAGCGGCTCCGCGGGCGGAAGGCCGTATCTGAGCGGAGCGGAAGTGCGGTGGTCCTTTCTGTCTGGGTCGCCAACATGGTGAGTGCATGCGGCCACTCGCGGGGTGGAAAACCTAGAATATTCGTCGGGATGTTTTTCGCATGTGAAGGTGTAAAAGCCTAGGATCGTTTTCTGAAGGTGCCGTAAGGGAAATGCAATGGAAAGACGTCGATATTGTGGATCGTTGCGCTGAAATGTGTGGAAGAATCTTCTAGGGGGTTGTTAGCGTGGTGAGACCAGCCATTAGATGGAGGCCTGCAGTGAACTCTGCCCGGCCTTTTCGGAGGAAAAAGCCGCTTAATTGTGTGTTTAATTACGTGTACAGTTGACTTTTTGCACCAATGTAGTTTTTTTTCTTTTGTTTCTGTTGTAACTGCTGTGTGGACGCTGTTGGAGAATTAGTTTTGTGCTTTTTAAGACCCGCTTAAATATATATTATCTAGTAAGTTCTGTGTATAAGAGATGTTACGGCATTCGGGAGTGCTTTGTTGAAATAATTCAGTTTATTCTGGTCTTTATCCGTTACGATTACCCAGTCTCATTTTTTTGGCTTTCAGTAGCGTGTGGTAATATTTTGAATAACATCCTAAATGCTGTCTATGTTGTGCCAACATAAATCGTGTAAACGTCTAAATTGTAGTTATTTGTGCAATATTCTTTCAAGGAAAACTTGATCACATCTTGAGAGAGTGATCTCTTAAATTGTAGTAATATTTTCGTATCGCACGACAAACCACATGACTTAACTGCTTGATCCCGAAGCGCTTTGAAGCCTCATCTCATTGCTGCAGCCTGAGCACCGTATGTCTCCGAGGCCCCCTTCAATCCAGGGTCTGCAAGGTTTACGAAACTTCTCTTATGTTCCAGTAAAACCATTGTAAATCCTGAACACGGATCGATTTTACCTCCTGCCTCACTGCTCAGTTTACGAAGTTTAGATCTCCTTCTTACTGCTCTTCAGTGGTGACTCAAGCCTTTTGCCGGGAGAGCTGCTGCTTCAAATCCGTCTGGGTTTTCCCTCTTCTGCCAGAGCATAGTTCACTTTTTTTAGCCTTTTCCATCCTTCGGATGAGACGTGAAACCGAGGTCCTGACTCTCTGTGGTCATTAAAAATCCCAGGGCATTTCTCGAAAAGAGTAGGGGTGAAACCCCGGTGTCCTGGCCTAATTTCCCATTGGGCCTTACCAATGATGGCCTCCTAATAATCCCCCTCTATGAACTGGCTACAT